TTCTAAATTTTAGGCATCTAAATTACAAAATCCGTATCCCTGAATCAGACAGAGACCTAGGCATCCTATGCAAAGGAGGTACAGAATAATATCCACAGAAGCTCTTCACTTGAGTGAGGATTCATGAAACATCAGAGAAAAGGATATACCTTAAACCCCGTTCTCTCTGTGATTTGGCTGCCCTCTTCCAGGCTGGGGGATATACCATGAAGATTCACAGACCACAGACCTGGGTAAAAGAAGAATTCCAGCTGTTCTAACATCCCATGATAGACAACGTATGCACCTGCTATACCGGAGACCTTTGTTCTGTTCCCTCCTCTGTTGACTGTCAGACTGAAACAGGCACAGCCTGGTTAGCACATGTAGCTTGGGTAGGCTAAGTTCTGACCAGTTGTACAAAAACTATTGCAAGAAGCCACAAGTTTACTTACAATGACACTACCTCGCAAAGTTAACTTTGTTCATTATTAAAATTAAAGAACCTCGGTAACAGTTTGTTATCCCCTCTCATTCTTACAGACTCCTTCACCCGGCAGAACAAGATGATTGGAGGGAACTCCAAAGAGCCATTCCTAAAGCACTTAATTTACAGCTCTATCTAACAAGCCATCACAGAATCATAGAATCTTTGGGTTGGAAGGGACCTTTAAAGGCCATCTAGTCCAACCCCACTGCAATGAGCAGGGACATCTTCCACTAGATCAGGTTGCTCAGAGCCCTCTCCCACCTGACCTTGAATGTTTCCAGGGATGGGGCAGCTACGACCTCTCTGGGCAACCTGTCCCACTGCTTCAGCACCCTCAGTGTCAAAAATTTCTTCCTTATATGTGGTCTAAATCTTCCCTCTTTTAGTTTAAAACCATTAACCCTTGTCCTATTGCTACAGGCCCTGCTAAAAAGTCTGTCCCCATCTTTCTTATAGGCCCCCTTTAAGTACTGGAAGGCTGCAGTAAGGTCTCCCTGGAGCCTTTTCTTCTCCAGGCTGAACAACCCCAACTCCCTCAGCCTGTCCTCACAGGAGAGGTGTTCCATCCCTCTGATCATTTTTGTGGCCCTCCTCTGGACCCACTCCAACAGGTCCATGTCTTTCCTGTGCTGAGGGCTCCAGAGCTGGACACAGAACTCCAGGTGGGGTCTCACCAGAGCAGAATAGAGGGGCAGAATCACCTTCCTTGAAGAGCATCATATACATATATTAATTTAAAGCTAAATATTGTTGTATACATTTCAATAACTTAAATCAATAAGCATCAACTTGTTTGCACCCACATGATTTCCATACCAAAAAAGTAATTAGCGTTATAACAATCACATCCATATCCAAATCCCTTAGGACCAAAAAAACCATGCCAGCCTCACAAGCATCACATCAAAATGTGACCACCCAGCTTAAATGTGCTTCAGTCCCAAAGGCTAACACATTAAAATGCTTTATTGGCCTGTTAACTATTATTTTTTTTTAGATCTTTCTGTGGCTGAGACGTGTCATTCCCATTTCCACTACCCTTACGTCAACCAACAAGTGTTCCCAATGAGCAAAGTTTCTTGGAGGCTCAACTGCTAACGCCATTAACATTACCAGACCTGTACATGACTAACAGCTGTGTCCTAAGGAAACTGAACTCATACCTTCCATTTCCACATCAACTGCCCTAAAGTTAAAGAGTATCCCAGGAAGAAAAGAAGGGAGGAGACGATGGGTAGAGAGGAAAGAAGGACGATGTTGTCCTTGCTGAGTCTGATTCACCCTGTATGGAACATATATTAATCAGGTCTCACATACGAACCAGCAAGGGTGAGCAGGACTACAATCCAGTAGTTACAAAGACATATGTTCATATGAACATAATTCTCTTTCAAAGGTGAATGCCATGTCCACAAGTATTTTGAGTCGTGTTCTCCATCCCTCTAGCCCAAAGTATATGCCATTAAAAAATAATGGAAGTGCTTCAGCAGAAAAGATTTAAAATACTCCTGTCCAGAATAACCTAGAACTCAGTAGCCAGAGCTATAGCCATGGAAATGGACTACAGCATTCATCCTCCTGGCAACAGGGAGAGAAAGTGAGTATGTCTGCCCACATGCTTACTTATCCTGGGTAAGCATTCCCACTACCAGGCAATGCCTCAAAGGGAAACTGCATCTCTTCTATCATTTTATGGGCACCTGTGGATACGTTCCTAAAACACCCTCTGGGGTGACTCCTGCTGCAGGGCTTTAGGCATTGGTGAACAGCATTTAGAAAAAAGATTTAGTTGTGTTTAAATGATCAATACGGTTAGTTTCTCTGAACTGTGACAGTCTGACTACTATCCGCTGATCAAAAGGAAATTCTTAAAATGGTACCGGTGTCACTTATATTCCTTTAGTTGGTAACTAAAAAGCCCAGCATGCCCCAAACCAGCAAAAGCTGAGTCTCCCTCCCCCCAGAGGGTACGTAATGATGGTAGTTAATTCACACAGAAAAGACCTTTTGGGGCTGATACTTCTCTCATAGTAATTTTATGTCATTCAAGTTCCACTAACAACTGTTGAGTTTACACCATGGTGCCAAAGAGGTATATTAGATCCTTCAACTTCAAGCTATCCAGAGCTTACTCGGCTCATTTGGCACCTTAGTGTTGCTGACACATGCAGAACTTTAACAGATGGTCTTACAATACTGGCAGTTGTTTTGTACTGTGCTAGTGGTGAGGGGAAATACTCGACACAAATTGTCTGCAATTCTGGAAAATAAATGAAGTACAAATCCATATTAACCTCAAAAGCCAAACTATAAAAAGTCAGATTAGTCATTTAACGATGTATGTGCTCTGGGTTAAATGCTCCGTTGCTGCAAAATAGCAATATTTCCCCTGCAGCCAGGAGAACTATGCTTTGCTTCAGTTTCTACCAGGAATATCTATAAATGCATTAGGAATAAGCCTTGAGACCCTTCCTCATGTGATCAGCCCTGATTATCAGCAGCAAAGTACCTCCGTAAACTGGGTGTTTTCACATACATAGTGAAGCAACAGGGTGCAACTTCAGTTAATCATATCTCTCTTTTTCCCCTGTGCCAAACAGAATTCAAGGAATAACACATCAGCTACTGTGCAAATGTTGAAGTCAACAGCAACAACTAAGTAAACAGCAATTTCACATTTTTCCTCACCTAATTAAAAAGAGCTGTACATACCACAAGTTGAATTTTACACTCACTAAGTTCACTGGCTGCACTGGAACTTGCACTGTACGTAAAAGACCAGAATTGCTCCTCCTTGTTTCTGTGCGGCTAAATTTCTCTCTTTTATTGTGCCAAATTATTAGATACATCAACTGGGTTGAACTAGTAAACCATGTATGCAGAATGGCGCTTTTCAAAGTAAACCCAGCAATTTCCTTCACTGGTATGTAACGTCCACGAAATGTATGTTCGCACATGCGTATTACAGTCTTCTAGCGCAAATTTAGAACAGGCTTTTAGAAAATCACAAATGTTTTAGTCCAGTGCTCACCTCTTCTATTTGCTTTAAATGAAACATAACTCAAAAGATATTTCAGAGGCTTGGTCATTCACTTCCCAACTATTTCAATATATTTAGTTAGATAATATGTCAGTCACCTTGTATGTTATTTTCACAATGTTAGTTACGTTGAAATACAGTTCCCTCAGGTAGTTTCAAAGCCCTAGAAGGAAGTAGAACCCTAAAAGCATTATCATAAAAGAGCCCTTCAAATACAAGAGGTACATTGCAGTCTTCTGTTGGGACTGAATCAAAGTTGTATCCATTTTTTAAAGATTTTATTTTATCCACTAAGGTTGCTTAAAAAACATGGTTGCTGAACTGACTGATGTTACACATTTGTGACTTTGATACAAGTGAAAAGATCTTTATCAGTTTTATGTCTAATTTTATACTGAAAGATCAAACAACTCCTAAGTTTGAAGCTGTTAACAAAAAAAAAAATATATTAAAACAACTAAATTTCAGAGAGGTTTCATGTTTTCTTTTCCTCCCTCAGGACTTTTGCCAGACTAAGATGACACAACATACTTCCAGAAAGTACTTATACAAATGCAAGATAATCCATCTCTGAAAGCATAAATTATTTCTCCTCATGAAATAAGAAAAATCAAAAGAAATCTTAAACAGACACAGTCAAAATGTAGGAACATCAGTCCCTCTGCTTCTCTTCCTAAGTGCAAACATTTTGTCAAACATTTCAAGCTATGATCCTTAAAGTAGCAGTTTGCTGTGAAATTCCCAGGAGAGGAGTTGGTACACCTATTTCAGTACCAATAACCCAAGCACAACCTATCCTGGGAAGAGGTCCTCCCTTACAGATACAGAAGATGAGATAACATGATGGGAAAACTTCATGATCATCCTTCCAGTTACTGACAGCTTTCCCAGCTTTTACAACAACCCGTCATGGCTACCCTCTTCCTTGAGCTCAACCTCTGCAGAGCTCACAACAGGTTCACAGTGAACATTTCCTGCTCTTGGAATCCTTTCTGGCAAAAGGGACATGAAACAAAAGGCATTTGGGGAAACAAAAGGCTTTTTGGGAAACAAAAGGCAAAGGGAAGGGACTAGGAGCACAGGATTTATTTTATCCACTCTAACAATACCCAGCACTCTACCGGTGACCTTCTAGGGAAGGTTCAAGTAGTCTTGGACCAAATGATAGTGGAATCGTCTGCCTCCAGCTGCGAGCAAAGGTCATTCTTAATGATTTGGAATGCTACGTTTGGTAAAACAGTAGAGATTCAGGGGATTTATAAATCTAAAAGAGAAAAAAACCCACAAGTGCAACATTTCCACAAAAAGATTACATCTGTTAGTGAATACAGATCTTTGTGCTGCAATTCATGTCCCAAGCTGGGCATTACTCAATTTTGATATAACAAAATCCTATAGAATCAAAACACAGTTTGTCTTTGTGATTTATCTCTTTGCCCTTCCTATCTAACATTTTCTGAAATAACATAAAAAACCTTTCTTCTTAAATACCTTTATAGTTTCAGTAGGCACTCCAGGCTCTGGAACTTTATTCAAGTAAGTAGTCAAGTCTTGATCCACGTGTTCAAACACTAATGTTAACTTGGTCTCTCTGTTTGTTCGTGACACGGTGCACACATCAAACAATCTGAGAGGAGGAAAAGAAAAGAGGAGGTAAGTACACAGGAACTAGTACAGACATACATACCTTGCAGCTCATACGCATCTATTTCAATTTCTTACAGTATATAGGATGGAAAAAAGAGCTTTCCAAAGGTAGAACAATCTTTGAGCTCTTGATTCATCAGATAACTACTGATGCATCAATAATATCATATCTCTCATGTGTGGATTCTGAAATAGGTTTAAGTATTAAAAGCTCATCAGGTGTTGAAAGTAAAATAATTACATAAAAAGAAAATATTTTTTGGACAGAGCAATTAGAGTTAATACAGAAAATGATTTGGTATTTATCCACATTCTATGCTGCAGCACTTACAGTCATTTAAAAAAAATTGCAAGAAACGTTTTTGAGAAAAAATATACAGGGTGTTTGCATGCACCTTCAGTTTCTTCCCACATAACTCCCATGTTACCCATTACACAGCTTTATAATTAAATCTCCTTTGGCAGAAACAGAATTTTTTTGCTGATTCCTCTTGCAAGTTCCTGGACGCAAGAAATACCTTCAGAGTCAGGATACAGTCTGGAAAAAAGCTTTGTGCACAAGATGCCACCACTAAGAAAGCTTTCCTCTCTCATCACTCTCTGTCATTCTTTTACTGAAATTTCTTTATCATTTCACCTTGTTGCACAACATCGAATTCAAACTAAATTGCGAAGCTCTTCATAATGTCACATTCCTCTACATGATTACTCTATTTTCTATTGTTTTCTCTTTTTAATTAGGATTTCTCTTGTTTTCTCCACTTCATCTACTCTACCAGTTTTAATCACAGTTTTATCTTTTTCACAATCATCTGCCCATCCTTCTATGCTTCACACATATACTCATACCAGCGACTTTCACTACCCTTCCTCAAGTCCCACTTCTACAAAATCACAATAGGAAACCATCTTACAAATGGAAGGATGCTTGTTCCCCGCTCACATATTTTACTAATGGTTTTATTCATTTAGTTTTAAACTGTACAGATCAGATCGCCTTTCTCTCTGAAGCAAGGCAGAAAAACAATTGCTACTTTTGTTAGGTGATAGTAGAGTTAAAAAATATATGAATACAGTTATTGAGAAAAAAGTCTATACAGTCAAACTGAAGAACCTATCATCAATAACAAACCAAGTAGTGTTGATACTACTGCTTATTTTGGTCAACATCATAGCAGTTATGTTGTTTTATTACATGTATCTTTCACCCTCTTACTTAGAATAACCGCTTCCTTACTCTGTGCAAAGTGCAGGATTTCTGAAAACATTGTCAAGTAATTTTTTTGTTCTTTATCCTAAGACTAAAGGCTTTATATGCAGGATCTGTAGACAACAGATCATGTACAAAGCCTTGGGAGGTCATGGCTTTTTGAAGAGGACATCTGACAAACCGACTAGGAAAACACTTTGTACTGAGATTTTACTTCTCCCCTTAAATCTCAAAATATTTCATAAGAGAAGGGAAGACAAGAATTGGCACAACTATTTGTGAAGACTGTAATCCATATTTAAGGGAGCAGTATGTTTCACTTGAGATGATATAGATTTAACATGTTAAGGCTGTGGTCTCACTTTAACAGCATTTCCTAAATAATCTTTGGTCAGGCACTTAAAATCTGTTTATTAGCCACCATGTTTTGAAAGGGATGCATGCACATTCCTTTTAGTTTAAAGAAGCTTTTAGGTGAGTAATAATTTGGGGAACCGGAGTTACAGAATATGGAGAAATTGTCACCCTGCCTCTACTAGAAGACTAATCTGTACTTAATCTGTAACCATCATATGAAAAAATATTAATTAAACTATTATGTTAACATAGCGACTGTAACAGCAAAAGTCTTGGCACATTTCTTACAAAGACAAATACTGTTCTCTTTATGATTCTCTTAATGGGGCGTACGCAGAAGATAGATGTCCTGTACACAGTAAATCCGTTTTGTGAAAAGTCAGAAACCTTCCTGAAAAGTGGAATTTGCTGGTATTTGGCTGGAGGTTAATAATCTGCAATATATTTATATAAATCAATGTGGAATGTAGCCGGACTGCCTATAACCCCAACACATGCAAATAGAGAGGAGCCAGACAGGTCTGAACATCTGAACATAAACACTGGAAAATATTTCCAACTGTATGATTGCTTTGTGTTGACCTACATTTACCTAAAAATGTTCTAAAACACCTTTTTTGCCAGGTATTTAATACACTGGCAAAATTATCTTTTCAACTATAGCAGAATTATAATTCAAGAAAAAAAGGAAAAAAGATTTCACTGTAGAGACTACAGAAGCAACATGGGATCTCCAGCTCACTGTGGAGGGAAATGCTGATTCTCTGTTTAATTCTCCTGTACGTGGCTTATTTTGATTCTGGCATTTTCTGGCACAGCAAAATAAGGAACTCAGAGGAGCGCAATTCTAGTCACCTACTACTGAGTAATAATATTATCACTGAGTAATAATATTAGCTTTCCTTTTTACATACCCTTTACGTGAAACTCTAAATACTTTACTGTTAATAATAAAAACTACTGGTCCTGCACCGGGCTGGGTGGAAGCACAATGTGTTTACGCACCGAAAATGCAGCTGCTGCCTTAGAAGAACAATAATTTAAAGCACAACTTATATGAATCCGCGTTATTACAAAAAGACAACATCTGGCATTGCCCGTGCTAATCATTCCAGAAATAGATTGAGAAAGACACAGCCTCTTTATTTAGTAGTTTCCATAGAGATAAAACTACTTTTAATAAACTATATTCTTCTACATCCGCTGTGAGAAAATCATCCATAGAGTTGTTGTCTTTAGCCAGGAACACCTCTGCTGTCTGCAGGGCACATCTCTCAAGCAAGCCTTTTCCTCATGATTTTCTGTACGTGACGGGTTAGTTTTGCATGTGATTGCCTCTCTGGAACAGGCAACAGCAAAAGGCCTTTTATTTAAAGAGTTACTATGTGGACGCTGTCCTAAGTGAAGTAAATGTACCTCGATTAATACAGGATTTCCATACTGGATACTTTGTAAACACAAGCCCTGCCCTTCTATTGTACTTACTTACAAAAGAAACGCTTGAATTATTTGATTAAAGTAAGATCCGCTATGGGAAATCCTGCAAGTATTTAACAAGATGTTTGGCTGGGAGTCATACACCGCCTGATGCGTCGATCTGAACTGGAACACTGTTGGACAGACACTTATGGACTACCTGTGTTCTAATGCAGATATATTTTCAAGTTAATTGTACTAAGGTAAAAAAGGTTTATCAGCTACAAATCTATGTCTCTGTTTTATTTTATGTGTCTAGTGCCTAGTGGATCTCAGTATAGCCTAGGAGAATACCTGCATTCCTACAAAAATACTTTGTTTTTTTTGAAGACGGAAAACTAGATGATGGTCCTTGAAGTCTCCATAGCTTCTTATAGTATGTAATCTGACAAATGCAACCTCAGTTCATCTTCATTTTACAATATACAGTCTGAATGCTTAATGCCTTTATAAGAAAAGACACAGTTATGCCAACTCCTTTGAAAACTATTGTGTCTACTGACTGGTACGAATTTGGTAACTGCTTCTAGAAAGTCCTTAAATGTCACTGGACTTGCTTTTGAGATGCTCTGAGAATTGCTATAAAGTTACCCACTTTCAAGTGGAATAGGCATTTTTTTCCTGAGCAAACTGAGATAACAGTGACTGAGATCAAACCCACCAGCCCAAGCCACCTGCAAGATATAACCGGCCCCCCGCCCCAGACCTGAAGAAACCGTAGGACATAAGTTCTCTTGGCTATTGTCAGGCAGATGAGTAAGTGCATCTGGAAAATCAGCCAGATCATAGTCAAAGGGAAGACCAAAGAATTAGACCCTTGCTGCCAATGCATCCAAAGGCTTATTGGTATTTTTACTGCAGTAGGACTAATCCAACATGAACACATATCCCTTTGCTGGTCACTCACAGCACTGAACAAAAATACAGTCCTTGCCCTCTGAAGTTGTTCAATAACATGGATTTACTTTAATTTTCTTGGGAACAGTGTCATTCTAGGAAGAGTTACTTCCTAGCTTATGCAAGACAGAGAAAGAAAACTGGAGCCATTGACTTATGAGTAGAAGAAATGTTTAAGACGACTGTGGTGTGGTAAGTAGTGGCATAGTAATATCCTACAGTTTTACGGTTTTGTAAGCCTGGACAAAGACTCAGATGGAAAGAATTAGGAGGTCTCAACCTAACTCTGAAAGGTATTTATCCACATGACAGAAAACCAGCACAGAATTTATGTATGATTGACAGTGTTTTTGCAAATGCCACAAGATTGGGATACCAAGACAGGTCATGATTAGGTTTATTGACAAATATGTGCAGAGGAGCCTGAATAGCTTCTGCTTTCACTGCCTTTGGCTCAGGTTAATCCTGTGAGTCCATAATTTTCAAGGGCACAGAAAATGTCAGCTTCTCATACCTAAAAGCATGGAAGAATGAGAACCAGGGATCCTTTAAGTCCAGATTTCAGCATCAGCCTTAGACTCTTCCGTGCTCTGGAAGCCACTCAGCAGCAAGCCCTTCATTCACCCCAACTTCTTAAACTAATAACTCTTTGAACAAAACAGTTTTCCCCATACTTTTAATATTAGCTACGTTCTCCTTTCTTGCTTTTGAAGAGGAAAAAGACTTTGCTAACAGAAGCCAGTCTCTACCTGGAATCACATATACCCATGTATTGTAACAAAGGGGTCGTATTTCAGATGAAGAAGACAATAGCTGGGCAAGCGGAGTGGAACGTGTGCTTTACGAGAACCATGTTCCACGTAGCAAAACAGGAAACAGAGCTTCACACTGAAACGTATGACAGAGCTCCTTCCCTTTGTTCAGGACATGCTGCTGCTTCTCATCTTAATCAGCAATCAAGTAGGTACTCCTCCATGCCTCTGAAAGCTGGTATTTCAGGCATAGATTTTTCTCACGCAAATGAGCTTTAGTGAAGTACT